GTATAATCCATAATAGACACTATCATTATCCTATAAATCTTTGTATAAAACACAACATCAACAAATCCAATTAATAGCATCATTGCATTGCAAGTCTTCCACACACAAGGGTTTGGACAGACCAATGGGTACAACTCCAATTCATTCTGCATCTTGGTCCCTGAAAGAGAAAGAACGAGAAAGAGAAAGAGAGAATGGTTATACATCTCAATTGTAAGAGTTTCAATTTGAAGTAAAAGTGAAGTTAAACATGCATACCATTTTTCATGGTGTCCTTCTTCTTTCCGTTTATTGACCAATTTTCGGCCATTAGACTACTCCACGTGTCCTTGAGAAATGTTTCTTTTTTGTAAAGGAAACAGGTCTACACAATGAGAGGGTTAGCTAAATTTGGGTTGCTACAGATAAATGTAGACAACGTGCCCCTGACCTCATTATGAATTTGGAGACAATTTAAAAATAAAAAATAGCATACTTTTTATGAAATGTATATTTGGGACCACTAATAAAATATCGATTAGAAAAATCTTCCCTTAAACCTTCAAAACAGTTCTTTAAAACAATAAAAAAAAACTGTCTAACCTCATACAATATATAAATAAATGTTCAACTGTCTCTTCAATCCCACAAAATGGACATTCCTTACCCACTGCTGGATTCAGGTGTGCCACGTGTGTTCGTAGCTATGATAACAAGTCTTCACTGTAGGTCTGTATTCTCTGTGCAGTTTATAGCCTGAAAGTATTAATCCTGCTTCTTACGTCTATCAGAGCTTGTCCCCCTTCTTGTAAAGGCAGATATAATACAGATCCAGGAAGCCAATGTAGTCCTGACAAAATTTTTTTTACAAATCTTCTCTGTAAAACTTTTATCATTTCATTTGGCGGCTCCAACACATTTAATCGGTGCCAAAGCATGGATGCAGCCGGATTGTTTGTAACCAAGACTCTACCCCTGTAGGATAGTTCAGGTAATAGCCAATTCCATTTAGACAACTTGGCTGACACCTTCTCCAGCATACCCTCCCGTTTTGTCTATAACTTTCTTTACCCAGAAACACTCCCAGAATTGTTATACCTTCCATATCCCATTGTAATCCCCCTGGGAGTTGAGGTGGCCCACCATTGTCCCAGGGACCCACAAGAAATCCTTCATTTTTTGTCCAGTTTACTTTAGCTGAGGAAGCTCTTTCATATAAAGCTAAACTTCTATACAGTATCTGAACATCCTCCTGTCCAGTAATAAAAACAGTTACATCATCAGCGTAAGCAGAAACAGAGACACTTGACCCATTAACATTTCCTGGTATATTAAAACCCTTCAAATTATTTTTCAGCTTAATTAACAAAGGCTCAATAGCTAAGCTATAGATTTGTCCAGAAAGTGGACAACCCTGCCTTATTCCATTTTTAACAGGTACTGGACAACTCAATCCCCTTCCCACCTTAAGTGTTACTGAAGCCCCGCTATATAATAATTTTATTAATGAAATAAAAGTTTCTCCAAACCCAAAAGCTTTCAAAACATTTATAAGGTAGTTATGGCCCACACAATCAAATGCCTTCTCTTGATCAATCGATAAGTCAAGTCAAGTCAAGTCACCTTTAAGGGGAAGTCGTGGCCTAATGGTTAGAGAGTCGGACTCGTGACCCAAAGGTTGCGGGTTCGAGTCTCGTACCGGCAGGGATTGTAGGTGGGGGGAGTGAATGTACAGCACTCTCTCCCACCTTCAGTACCACGACTGAGGTGCCCTTGAGCAAGGCACCGAACCCCCAACTGCTCCCCGGGCGCCGCAGCAAAAAATGGCTGCCCACTGCTCCGGGTGTGTGTTCACGGTGTGTGTGTGTTCACTGCTGTGTGTGTGCACTTTGGATGGGATAAATGCAGAGCACTAATTCCTAGTATGGGTCACCATACCTGGCCACATGTCACTTCACTTTATTTATATAGCGCTTTTAATAATACAGATTGTGTCAAATCAACTGAACAGCATTAATTAGGAAAATAGTGTGTCAATAATGCAAAATGACAATAGTAAACACTCATTTTTCAGTGAAAGGCAGTTCATCGTTGAATTCAGTGATGTCATCATCCAGCTCAGTTCAGTTTAAATAGTATCTTTGCAATCATTTGCAATCAAGTCAACGATATCGCTGGAAATGAAGTGTCCCCAACTAAGCAAGCCAGAGGCGACAGCGGCAAGGAACCAAAACTCCATCGGTGACAGAATGGAGAAAAAACCTTGGGAG